AACGTGACATTAGTTTCACGTATACAGCATAGTGATTTGCAAAGTCTATACATCACGCTATGCTCACCACAACTGTAGCGTCCATCTGTCCCACAGAACCCTGTTACAATACCACTGACTATACCCGATGCTGTACCTTTAACTCCCATGACCTACTCATGTATAACTGGAAGCTTGTATCTCCCATTCCACTTCAATCATTTTGTCCATCCCACCACTCCCTCCCCTCTGGCAGCCACCAGTTTGTTCTCTGTATTTATGGGTCTGTTTCTGCTTTTTGTTTATCCGTTTGTTTTGTTTTTTCTATTCCACATATAAGTGAAATCATTTATCTTTCCTTCTCTTACTTCACTTATGAGCAATGAGCTTTGAAACTATCAAGTGACTGGGGCGCCTGGGTGGCTCAGTCGTTAAGCGTCTGCCTTCGGCTCAGGTCATGATCCCGGGGTCCTGGGATCGAGGCCCGCATCGGGCTCCCTGCTCCGCGGGAAGCCTGCTTCTCCCTCTCCCACTCCCCCTGCTTGTGTTCCCTCTCTTGCTATGTCTCTCTCTGTCAAATAAATAAATAAAATCTTTTAAAAAAAAAATAAATAAATAAACTATCAAGTGATTATTATCTCCACAAACATGTACCTGCTATGGTTGCAAGAAGCACTGGTCTAAAGTCTCTACTTTGGGATGACCAGCAACTGGAGAAGGCTCAGTGGATGTGAGTTAAGAATGAAACTCAGGTCCAACAACTGTGTCCTAGAGTCCCTCCCTCACATATAAAGCCAGCTTCTTCCAGTTATTAGCTTCCTGGGGAAGGTTGCCACCACTGCCACAAGTTTCCAGGAGATCCTCTGGGGTTTCATCTTGAGCATCCAGATCCTATCATCTCCACTTACAAAGAAGTTTTAATTAAGGGGGTGGGGGATGGTGGCTGCTGAATTCCCTAGGGGTTGGAAATCTATCAAGTTTCTCGACAAACTCCTCACAATTGTCTCCAATGCAAAGTAGGTAAGAAATTTCTTACATGTCATGAGTGCCCTCTGCTACACTCATGTTCAAATGAAATTTTTGATTTTATCTTTTTTTTTTTAAAGTAGGCTCCATGCCCAGAGCAGAGGCCAACACGGGGCTCGAACTCAACCATGAGATTAAGACCTGAGCTGAGGGATGCCTGGGTGGCTCAGTCAGTTGGCCGTCTGCCTTCACCTCAGGTCGTGATCCTAGGGTCCTGGGATCGAGCCCCATGTCGGGCTCTCAGTGGGAGCCTGCTTCTCCCTCTCCCTGCCGCTCCCCCTGCTTGTACTCTCTTTCTCTGGCAAATAAATAAAATCTTAAAAAAAAAAAAAAAAAAAAAGACCTGAGCTGAGATCAAGAGTCAGAAACTCAACCGACTGAGCCACTCAGGCGCCCCTATAATTCAAATGAATTTTAAATCTATATCTGATACTTTTCAGGAAGCACTCTCAATTTCCATAAAACATAGTTGTTACTACAAAGTACAAGGAATGTGCTGGCAACAATGTGTCATTGTCAAAGCCAATAGTAAATCACCTACTTTCAGAGAACTAAGTGAACTAACCTATGCTTTCTTCTCCTTCCTTCTTTTCTGTCAAAAGAGTTCTTGTCATGCTGAGCTTCTTCATTGTATGGCATTTATATTTTAGCACTGTTTTACTACTGCCTTCTGCATCACCTAGAACATAAAACGAACTCAATTATCTTACTGTTGATGCCACCAAATAATCATGTTAAGCCTCAATAACTCCAGTTCAAAGAGTGAGACTAAACTACTTCCTGTTGAGATAGCATAGTAAGTTCAAAATTTAACTCATCCCTCCTGCTCCCAGCACAGAGAAATGACAGATAAAATATGTAACAACTGAAGGCACAGGTGGACCCCAAAACAACAAACATCTCCAGAGGACCAAAACACAAAGCTGTGAGTGAAATTATATCTATTGGCCTGCTAGGCTCCCGCCCTGAAGTAGGGAAGTGGGACAAGGAATTGCCTTACAGGGTAATGGTGTCTCAAATTCTACCACTCTAAATGAAGCACCAAAGTCAGACTTACTACTTGAACCCAGACACTGGCGTGAGGACATTCTCAATCACAAAGAAGGCTGAGAAAAAACCTGCTGCCAACATGCTGCCTGGGGTTACAGCTTTATAGGAAACTGTGGGCGCAGGCAGGAGGGAGGATAAGGCTCTGAGTTAGAGGTGTGAAGCACACTGAAAACTTCCAGACACTGCTATGTGTCACTGACACACACTTTAGAAAGGATCATACCACTACCTATAAGGTTGAACCACATGAAACTGTCCGTATTTAGTTGAAGTTGGTCACTTCATATGGTTAAACCTAACACACACTCAGCAATCTGGTAATTCTATTTCTAAGTGTGTATCTTTGAGCCATTTTTGCATACATGCACAAGGAGACACAAAATACTCATGGTAGCATTTCTGCAGTGAGTTAATAAGCATAGTTAAGATCACGGGCTCTGGACGAGACCACCTGGGCTCAAATCCCAGCTCTGTCTCTTACTTCGTGTATGACTTTGGGAATGCTATTTACCTCTTTGTGTTTCAGTTTCTTCAAATATAAAATGAAGACAAAAAGGTATCTACCTCACAGACTTGTGATGAGGATTAAAGGAGTTAATACATGTAGCATTTAGAACAATGCCTAACATATAAAAGGCATTCAATAAATTTTCATAGCTATTAAAAATTACTGGTAAAAAATGGAAGCAATCAACATGTCCAGTAACTGGAGAATACACTGTGGTATGGTCACAAACAGAATACTTAGCAACAGGGAAAATAGAATTATACATACCAACATGTATAAATCTCAAAACCTATCTCTAACTGAAACAAAGATATACAATGGTACATATAATATGCTGTAATTTGTGTCAGGTTTGAAAATATACAAAAAAATGCTACTCATTGTTTGTGGATACATATATATGTAATACAAAATCAGGTATAGGAAAGAAAAACATCAAATTCAGGGGAGTGATTACCAAGACAGAGGAAGGGAGTATGTTAGAGAGGAGTACACACAAGGCTTCAAATGTATCTGGAATGTTTTTTAACTATCTGGCAAATTGGTAGGATTTGATATAGCTAGACAATGGGCACATGAGATGTTTAATTTTAATATTTACTGTACAAAAGGAAGTTTGCAGTATTTCATAGTAAAAAATTTGAGTCAGCAATGCAAGCACTTACCCTGTTCAACATTTTCTTCAAATATAACACAGGTCCCAAGGGTGTCTGCAGAAAAGTTGAAGGCAACTTGTTGAGAAATAACAGAGTAACTTCCTCTGAAAAGCATATTAAAAAAGGAGTTTTATCTGACATCCTCCTACCTTCATACTCTCCAGCAAAGACATAGCTGTCCACTTGCAGAATGGGCCTCTCAGTGTCAATTCCCTGCAACAGAATACAGGATCATTAAAAAAAATCATCATTAGAAAAAGCCTTGCAGGGGCGCATAGGTGGCTCCCTCGGTTAAGCACATCCAACTCTTGATTTCGGCTCAGGGTGGGTCACGAGATCCAGTCCCACCTCAGGCTCTGTGCTGGGTGTGGAGTCAGCTTAGGATTCTCTCTCTCCCTCGCCTTCTGCCTCTCCCTCCCCCTCCATAAAAAACAAGCCTTGGGGGGTTGGGTGAAATGGGTGAAGGTAGTCAAAAGATACAAACTCTCAGTTATAAAATAAGTTAAGTCCTGGGGATGTAATGCACAGCATTACTCTACCTAATAATACCTTGGTGTACACTTAAAAGTTGCTAAGAGTGTAACATCTTAAAAGTTTTTACAACAGGGTGCCTGGCTAGCTGTCCGTAGAGCATGCAACTCTTGATCTTAGGGTTGTGAGTTCAAACCCCATGTTGGGCACCGAGCTTTGCTTAATTGGAAAAAAAAACAAAAAACAAAAACTCATTACAAGAAAAAAATTGTAACCGTGTGTACTGATGGATGTTAACTAGACTTACTGTGGTAAGTACAAACAACTATTAAATCATTATGCTGTACACCTGAAATGTAATGTTATATGTCAATTATATCTCAATTAAAACAAAAAAAAAATAAAGAGGCTTCAATATGTAGCCTTGCTACGAAGGAGAGTGATCTCCAAAACTGGGGAACCTCTGGAGCTTGTCCTAGCAAGTTCAAGGTAAGCTAAAAATGCTCTGCTCACTCACAGCAGTTACAATGCTTCATTCATATCCAAGTAGCAAGCTGTATTTCAATCAACCCCCTCTTCAAGTTAAGGCAGGAACAGAAAAAGTCTTGTCAACAGTAGCTCAAAGATTTTTTTTTATTATGTTAATCACCATACATTACATCATTAGTTTTTGATGCAGTGTCCATGATTCATCGTTTGCGTATAACACGCAGTGCTCCATTCAGCATGTGCCCTCTTTAATACCCATCACCAGGCTAACCCATCCCCCCACCCCCCAAGCTCAAAGATTTTTAAGTAAAATGATAAACTGATGGTAACATGACACCACAGCTCAAGTCAACAGTAGAGCGTGAGGTCTTTAAATTCTTTTCTTTGTAGGCTTCTTTCCTCCCTTCTCCAGTTAATCTGTGTGCGTATCTAAATGGCCTGTCTTCACTGTTTTCTCTCCCTGCTCACTATCTAAAACAATGTATTTTTTCGAAATATACAGGTTGGTAACAAGATGCTAACCTCTTCTAAATCTTTAACTCTCCCAGGGCGCACATTCGGACACTCAAGCAAAGTATGGCATTTTCTCCCATTTGCTCCCATAGTCCCTCTGTTCTTCTCTATGATTGTCCTTAGAATTCAGGGCTTTGTAACGAGGAATAGATCTTTGGGGATACGTATTTCACTATTCATTCTTGCTTAAATGTAAGAAAATCTACAGAAATCCCCCAAGTCTAGAAGACTCACCAAAATCTTGCATTTATTTCCACATTTTGATAGAAAGTCTGAATCAATAATTCCGGACAATTCCACCAGAACCAACTGCTCCTGGTGGAAGAAAGAGGAGTTAACATGCTAGCACGGGAGTGTGCAGAAGAGGCAGTTAAGGAGCGAAGCCAAAAATCCCCACTGCAGTGATCCCAACCTTCGTGAACCCTAGGTCCTGCTTTCAACGAGAGGAAGCGACGTTGCCTAAGGTAACCTTCTATGCTTCCCCAGGCTAACTACCGTGTGGCAGCTAGGGCCGAGGCCGGCGCTCCGGCTCGGCGCGCCCGGGGCTCTCCCTCCCGCCAGCCGCATCCCGACGGCCTGCCCCACACGCCGCCCGCGCCGCGCAGGCCGCCGCCGTGCCACTCACGGCTTCCTCTTCTTCCTCTTCGCGGTCCTCCCGAACCCGCTCCTCAGCCGCCGCCATGATTCCGCACCTTTTCGGAACCTCAGAGTCGCTGGCCACGCCCTCCGCGGCCGCCATCTTGAGTACGGGCAGCAGCTTCCCAGGTCTGGCTGCGGCTCGGCCCCGCAGACCGCTCCTGCCAGGACGCGAGATGGCCGCCCCCGCGCCCACGCGGAAGTCCGCGCCAGGCCTCCTCCTCGTTCCTTTCTTGAGAGCGAGAGTGCGGGTCTGGTGGCGGCCGGCCGCGGCAGGCCTGCGACCGAGGACACCCTCGGGCTACCGGCCTAGGTTGGGGGAGAGGGCTGGGGAGGGAGAGAGGATAAAGAAGGTGCAAGCAAGGAGGCCGCCATGTGAGAGGGAAACGAAGAGGCCTCTCCTTGGCCCGACTCAACATTTCTTGGAAAGATATTCTTAATATCGTGTGAGCACTGCTCCTCAATTCTAGCTCTCCTTGAGCCGAGTCAAGAGCACATTTCACTGTAACGCGTAAGGAGCACGCAGTGGGCTTGGGTTTCAGGCCTGCCAGCATCAGAGCTAAGATAGGTAGAGAAGGGGACCCAACCAATTATATGCTAATGAGCTTGCTCCTAGGTGCTGTAAGACAAACATTGTTAGGGGAATTCAGAGACCTGGGGAAGTGGAGTTTTGAACCAATTTTCTTAAACTCATGGGTTTCTCTGATTATAATATAAATGATCTTTGTATATGAAGCAGGATGATCTAGCTCCAAAGAGCCTGAGCTTTGGAGTCTGATACTTGTCCAGTTCAGCTGCATTTTTAGCAGCAAGGTCCTAGGCAAGTTGGTTATTGTGAGGATTAAATGAGACAATACATGTAAAATAGATTTAGCCCAGCATTTGGCACAGATTGAGCATTCAACGTGTTTTATCTATTAGTAGTAATATACTACTTTTTAGAGTATTGACTTTTATTTATTTATTTTTTAAATTTTATTTATTTGACAGAGAGAGCGCGAGAGAGGGAACACAAGCAGGGGGAGTGGGAGAGGGAGAAGCAGGCTTCCCGCTGAGCAGGGAGCCTGATGCGGGGCTCGATCCCAGGACCCTGGGATCATGACCTGAGCCGAAGGCAGACGCTTAACGACTGAGCCACCCAGGCGCCCCTAGAGTATTAACGTTTAAAAAACATTTTCCCGTATATCCTTTCAGCTTTCTTCTACACATAAACACTTTTTTTTAAGCATTAAATTTGTACCTCTGTTTTTAACTTGCTTTAGTCACTGTATACAGTATCATGGATGTTTTCCCAAGTTTTCCATGGTAAATACAGATTTACATCATAATTTTTAGTAACTGAGTAGTATTTATTGGGTAATATTATTTCACAACGGTTGTGTGGCCTGGCTGGCTCAGTTGGTAGAGCATTCAACTCTTGATTTCAGGGTTTTAAGTTGGAGCCCCACCTTGGGTGTAGAGATTACTTAAAATATTTTTTTAAAATATCACAACACTTTAGTAAACATCTTTGTACATTTTTACTGAGCTGCCCCATTAAAGAAATAGGATTTCATTGCTTAAAAAGAAAAGGTAGAGCACTTAACTTGTTAGACGTTGTAGATTTGAATTCTAGCTCTGAAATGTAATACTTGTGATCTGGGACAAGCTGCTACACTTTCTAAGCCTCAGTGTTCTTATTTATTAAATGAAGATAAAAATATACTTACTGTATATTTTGCATTTGAAGATTAGATCCTGTTGTATCTAAAAATGCTTTGTAAATTGAAAAATTACACAAGTTGTCAGATTTTATTGGGGTAAAAGGGAAGATAAAGAGGAGAAGGGCAAGCCAAGCTAAGGGAACAGCAGTTACAAAGGCTTGAGGGATGAGAATATGTGTGTGTATGGTTTTTTAAAAAAAGATTTTGTTTGTTTATTTATTTGACAGAGAGCACAAGCAGGGGGAGTGGCAGGCAGAGGGGGAGGGAGAATCAGACTCCCTCTGAGCAGGGAGCCAGACACAGGGTGTGATCCCAGAACCCTGAGATCATGACCTGAGCTGAAGGCAGACGCTTAACCACCTCGAGAATATGTGCGTTCTGCAAGGTCAGTGTAATAATTTAAGAAGTCCCTTTCAGGGACACCTGGGTGCCTCAGTCAGTTAAGCGTCTGCCTTCAGCTCAAGTCATGATCCCAGGGTCCTGGGATGAGTGTGACTTCGGGCTCAGTTGGTTAAGCGACTGCCTTCGGCTCAGGTCATGATCCTGGAGTCCCTGGATCGAGTCCCGCATCGGGCTCCCTGCTCGGCAGGGAGTCTGCTTTGCCCTCTCATGTGTTCTCTCTCTCTCTCTCTCTCTCTCTCTCTCTCTCTCTCTCGCCTGCCTCTCCCTCTGCCTGCCCCTCCCCCTGCTTGTGTGCTCTCTCTCTGTCTCTATCTCTCTGACCAATAAATAAATAAAATCTTTACCAAAAAAAAAAAGTCCCTTTCAAATAAACAAGCCTCATACATCTAGTCAAGGTTATTACTGTTTGCTATTTATGAAGTAATTATTATTTTTATTTATTTTGAACAATTTACAAAAGGATATAGAGTGAAAAAGGATAGAATAAGATGTAAGCTTTCCATCCCAGTCCCCCTACATCCCCTTCCCATAGACAAGCAATTTTACCAGTTTCTTACATACATATACTTTCAGAGATATTCTATATATTTACAAAAACGTGTATACAAAATCTGTAAGGTAATTTTAATATTAAAACATCGCACACAAACTAGAAAACCATTCCCTTGGGAGGAAAGGAGACCCAGTATCGGCTTCATGGCCTTTGAAAATTAGCTTAAAGGTTCAAACATCTTGGACAGAAAACAGGTAGTTATTGGGCATAATAACCCATCAGCAATCAACTTTGAAAGAGGGAGAAAAAGAAGCCTTTTGGTGATTGGGAGGAATTTCAGTGGGTTCTAATTGGAGTCCATTCTTTTTTTTTTTTTTCCTAAGATTTTTTTTTCCCCCAGGAATGTCTACATCCAATGTGGGGCTCGAACTTAACAGTCCTGAGATCAAGAGTCACATATTCTACCAAGTGAGCCCATTCTTAATATGTTCTATTCTCAGGGTACCTGGCTGGCTTAGTTGGTAGAGCGTGTGACTCTCGGTCTTGGGGTCATATAGTTCAAGCCCCATGTTGGGCATAGAGCTTACTTTAAAAAAAAAAAAAAAAAAAAAAAACAGGGCGCCTGGGTGGCTCAGTCCTTAAGCGTCTGCCTTCGGCTCAGGTCATGATCCCAGGGTCCTGGGATCGAGTCCCACATCGGGCTCTCTGCTCGGCGGGAAGCCTGCTTCTCCCTCTCCCACTCCCCCTGCTTGTGTTCCTGCTCTCGCTGTCTCTCTCTGTCAAATAAATAAATAAAATCTAAAAGTCTCAGATGTCAGCTTCAAAAGACTAAATTAGGGGCGCCTGGGTGGTTCAGTTGGTTAAGCGACTGCCTTTGGCTCAGGTCATGATCCTGGAGTCCCGGGATCGAGTCCTGCATCGGGCTCCCTGCTCCGCGGGGAGTCTGCTTCTCCCTCTGACCCTCCCCCCTCTCATGTGCTCTCTGTCTCTCTCATTCTCTCTGTCTCAGATAAATAAATAAAATCTTAAAAAAAAAAAAGACTAAATTATCTTTACTTAAAAACAGAAGCAATAGGGGTGCCTGGCTGCCTCAGTCGGTAAGCTAGAGCATCCTATCCAATTCTTGATCTCGTGGTAGTGAGCTTGGGCCCCACCTTGGGTGTAGAGATTGCTTAAAAAAAAAAAAAAAAGAGGGGCGCCTGCGTGGCTCAGTTGGTTAAGCGACTGCCTTCGGCTCAGGTCATGATCCTGGAGTCCCTGGATCGAGTCCCGCATCGGGCTCCCTGCTCGGCAGGGAGTCTGCTTTGCCCTCTCATGTGTTCTCTCTCATTCTCTCTCTCAAATAAATAAATAAAATCTTAAAAAAAAAAAAAAGAAGCAATAAACCGAATTTGGCTGATCTATATATGGAATCTTATTTGCCAGTAAAAAGGAATGAAGTACAGATACATGCTACAACGTGGGTGAACTTGAAAACAAGAAGGCAGACACAAAAAGCCACATATTGAACGATTCCAATTATATGAGATTTCCAGTTAAGTGAGCCTATGGAGAGAAAACGTTGATTAGTGGTTGCCAGGGCCCCCGGGGGAAGGGAAATGAGTACAACTGGATGTGTGGTTTCTTTTGGAGGTGATGAAAATATTCGGGAATTAGTGGTGATGGTTGCACAACTTTGTGAATATCCTAAAAACCACTGAGTTGTATACTTCAAAGTAGTCCATTTTATGGTATATTTATTATATCCTAATATAGCTGTTATTAAAAACAACAACAATAGAAGCTGCTAGTTTGAAACTGAACAGGGAAGAGAAATTGCTCAGGTGATTTAAAAAAATCTTTGAAGGCCAGATGAGGGCCAAATCCTATGGCAGCTGTATAGCAGAAATATAATTTGGCCCTGGATCCAAAAAGATGGCTTAAGGATCCATGCTGGAGGGGGCAGGGAGGAGTTGGTAAGGGTCAATTGTCATTAGCATGTTTTGACCGAATCCACTTTAAGCCTTATGACAGTCTCAAGAGGTAATTATTATCAAGAGTGATGTTCAAGGGCGCCTGGGTGGCTCAGTTGGTTAAGTGACTGCCTTCGGCTCAGGTCATGATCCTGGAGTCCCGGGATCGAGTCCCGCATCGGGCTCCCTGCTCGGCGGGGAGCCTGCTTCTCCCTCTGACCCTCCCCCCTCTCATGTGCTCTCTCTCTCATTCTCTCTCAAATAAATAAATAAATAAAATCTTTAAAAAAAAAAAAGAGTGATGTTCAAAATATTTAACTGTTAATATTTAACAGGATGGCAGGAAAATTTAATCTCCGTCAGTTTTCTCTCCTTTACTCTCCCAGATCTTCCATAGTATTTGGAGAGAACTTTCCAGTCTCTGGCCCACATTGGTTACTACTGAAATTCCCATGGTTGAAGCCACACAGATCCTTGAAATGCAGGGACTCTTGTTTCCCAGAGCATGGGAATCCTCGCTGTGTTTGGGAACCTCAGTGTTTAAAGGTCTAGCCTTTCTAAGCAGATCCTAGATCTTGGCACCTGTCCAGGGCGCTGGGAGGGGACTGAGGACATAGCCGTCTATGCTCCTTCCCAGCCTCCAGTTTTAAATAAAGGCACCCCCTCCCCTTTTCCCTCTCAGACATCTAGCGTAATTTCTTCAGTGAGCTCAGACTCTAACAATGGACAGGAAACGGCACCATCTTCAAAGCTTCAGCTTTCCATTCTTTAGACATGCCGAGATGATGGAATAGAAATGGCTTGGCTACCTGCTTGGAAGGGCTAAAGGGGGAAATGTGGGGTATTAGTATCTCCATAAATTATCCTGCCATATCAATAAAATCTTTTGGAAAAAATCAAACCTTGTCTTGTTGGTTTTAAGAGTCAAAAAAATTGGGCGCCTGGGTGGCTCAGTTGGTTAAGTGACTGCCTTCGGCTCAGGTCATGATCCTGGAGTCCCTGGATCGAGTCCCGCATCGGGCTCCCTGCTCGGCAGGGAGTCTGCTTCTCCCTCTGGCCCTCCCCCCTCTCATGTGCTCTCTCTCATTCTCTCTCTCTCAAATAAATAAATAAAATCTTAAAAAAAAAAAAAAAAGAGTCAAAAAAATTTGTTCACACCCTAGGTCGGTTATAGCCTGGGAGCTTAAGGGCTCAAAGTGCTAACTGAAAAGAGATTTGGTGGCAGGGGCTGTCCCTGAACTCTGAAGATCTTGTGTGGTTGCTGGGGCATTGCAAGAAAGGGGGTGATAATGAGAGGAATAAAGGATAATGACCTGGTGTCCTTCAGTCCTATAAAGGAAGAAAACGCATTTCAAAGTGTTCTAAGTAGTGAGGTTCTACTGCTAAGAAGTAACAAAATGAGGGAAAATTTACAAGTCAGCTTAAAAAGAGCCATGTTGGAGACAAGTTACATGATTTTCTGCAGCCACAGTTAGAGCGAATAGAGAAAAATCTATGGAATTTGGTGGAGAGGGCCAATTGATTTTAATTGTAGTTAATAAGAGGACTCTTAGGGAAAAAATCAGAAATAGACTTTTTAAGAAACATAAATAGGGTGTCGTGCTCAATATTTAAAAGCCTGCCACTAGGAGGAGACAAATGAATTAAAAATTGTTAAATTGGCTCTTCCTCTAGAAATTGAGAAGAGCCTGTATGAAAATATATTTAGTAGAAGAATTCTAGTAAAAAAAAAAGCCTTTAGTGGAGAGTGAGGAGCTGGGGGGAGGGGGATGAGTATTAACATTTGTCTTAAAAATTAACAGGGGTTGGGGCACCTGGGTGGCTCAGTTGGTTAAGCGACTGCCTTCGGCTCAGGTCATGATCCTGGAGTCCCTGGATCGAGTCCCGCATCAGGCTCCCTGCTCGGCAGGGAGCCTGCTTCTCCCTCTGACCCTCCCCCCTCTCATGTGCTCTCGCTCATTCTGTCTCAAATAAATAAATAAAAAATCTTAAAAAAAAAAAAAAAGAAAACAATTATTTAAAAAAAAAATTAACAGGGGTGCCTGGCTGGTTCTGTTGGTGGAGCATGCAACTCTTGATCTAGGGGTTGTAAGTTTGGGCCATGTATTGAGCGTAGGGATTATTTAAAAATAAAATCTTAAAAAAAAAAAAAAAGAACAATTTGCTGTTAAATAATAGTTCATATTCCATTAACTTCTTCTTTTTTTAATCTATATTTTACTCTGTTTTAGATCTGAAAACTAAATGCTAGACCAGTGGTCCCCAGCTGCATCAGAAATCACCTGGTGGGCTTGTTAAAATGCAGATTGCCAGCCCCACACGCAGAATTCCTGATTCAGCCGGTCTGGTGTAGGACAGAACAGAATATATGCATTTCTAGCAAGCTCCCAGATGACGCTGGTTCTTTTGGTCTGGAGAACACACTTTGAGAACCACCGGGCTAGATGACTATGGAAGTAAGCCATTTGGCAATAGCCAGATTTAATGAAATATTGAGAACATACTAACTAAAATATTTCAATTTGCAAAAAAAGTAACAGTATCAGAAATAAGATTTGAATGATCATTTTTGGAGGGGTTTGAATACAGAAGAAAGTAGTTTATACTTAATTTGGTAGCAGTGTGGCACTTTTGGAAGCTCTTGGGAGTGTGTTGTAGGCACGAGTGAAATTAGTGCAGACAGACCAGGTGGTCTACAGGGGTCCTTCTCAAACCAGGACACAGGTACCCCATGCGAAGGTCCTGACAAACCCAAGATGTTCCCAAAGCATCCATTTGGCTCCCTGACAAATAACTGAAAGCTTCCTTTAATGTGAAAATAAAAATAGATGGAAAAATAAAATAAAAATAGTTGGAAGAGTTTGCAAAATCTGCCTAACTTTTTAAAGATAACAGGAGTCTGCCAAGAATTTTCTCCAAAGTGGGGAGAGGAAGATTTAAAAGCTTCTCAGGGGTACAATCCCTAAGGATACCCTCCTCCTCACCCTTTATATTTTCTCTGCTGTGAGAGGCACCTTTTGGAAAAGTTTGAGAAATACTGGTGTAGGGAAAGGGCAAGAGGTCATGATGGAAAGGAAATATCAGTGTGGGTAAACAAGCATTTAAATATTATTGACTTAGGACACCTGGGTGGCTCAGTCGTTAAGCGTCTGCCTTTGGCTCAAGTCATGATCTCAGGGGATCAAGTCCCACGTCTGGCTCCCTGCTCAGTGGGGAGCCTGCTTCTCCCTCTGCCTGCTGCTCCCCCTGCTTGTGCTCTCTGTGTCAAATAAATAAATAAAATCTTTTCAAAATAAATAAATAAACACCATTGACTTTAGAGCACAAAGTTTAAAGATGTTACAGTGTTTAGGTTAATGAGATGGGCAAAGAGAGCCAATGGACACAGCATCTGAGGGCTCTCAGCGGGAAGGTAATCTGGCATGTGGGGGTGGGTGGCTTGGAAGCTTTTCTATAGCTATTCGGGTTCTGGGAGATGAGACCCTGGATTGCGGCAGTGACAGAGGAAGGGAAAAGGGGTCAGAGACATTCCAGGTGAAAAGCAGTAGGACCCAGGAGACTGCCTAAATGAGGAGGCCAACAAGAGAAGGACGTTTTTAAAAATCTCCATATATGGGTGCCTGGGTGGCTCAGTTGGTTAAGCAACTGCCTTCGGCTCAGGTCATGATCCTGGAGTCCCGGGATCGAGTCCCGCATCGGGCTCCCTGCTCTGCAGGGAGCCTGCTTCTCCCTCTGACCCTCCCCCCTCTCATGTGCTCTCTGTCTCTCTCATTCTCTCTGTCTCAAATAAATAAATAAAATCTTAAAAAAAAAAAAAATCTCCATATATGAGCCTGAGAGTCAGTTTCGTTCAGAAGTACAGTGCCAGTGACCCTGTAGAGGTACAGGCCCAGCTGCTCTGTCCAAACAGGGAAAAAAGGGTGATTAACGGGCCCATGGTTCTCAAGAGTGGTCCCCAGACCCATGTAGTCAGCATTACTCAGGATTCTGTTACCAATGCATATTCTCAGGCCCTACCCCAGACTACTAAATCAGAAACGCTGGGAATGAGGCTCAAGGCTTTGTGGTTTAACAAGCTCTCTAGGGGGTTCTTCTGATGCCCACTGAAGTTGAACTCTGAGCGAGGCCAGTCAGGTTTCCTTTCTTTTTTTCCTTGCAAGCATTTGAAGTGAGATATACAGAGAAAATCGGTCTGTTGATTGTGGGGAGACAAGCTGAAAGTTGGTTATAGAAAGACTATGAGTAAGCTGGAATTTTGAGTAAGCAGGAACTAGAACTAAATGAGATAGCCAGCCGGTAGTCATGGAGACAAAGGAGGGATGGTGACACCCTATGGTTGGGGAATACTACATTCCTGCTGCAGCCAAGAGTGACAAGTCAACCCAGGCTCTGGGTGTGCATGGAGTTTGTCCAGTTCCCTGTTCATTTTCCTTCCCAATTGGAGCCCAATCATATTGCTATTCTTAGGTCCCTACCATATTCTTATCTCCTTTATAGTCACGTGTATCCTTAAAATAGCGAGACTTGCCATTACTTGAGGTGACCTGAGTGGATCTGCATTCCTCAAACATGAAAAGCTGATAGAGCTCCAAAGTAGATGGAGCAAAAGTTTAAATTAATGAAAAGAGTTCATTTAAAATATATATATGGACACTTATTTTTTTCTTCTTTTTTAAAAATAAAATTTACCGTCAGAACTATTTTTCAGTGTATGCTTCAGTGGTTACGTATATTCACACTGTTGTGCAACCAATGTCCAGAACTTTTCATCTTGCAGAGAAATAGTTTCTAAAGAATTACTTTTTGGGGGCACCTGGGTGGCTCAGTCGGTTAAGTGGCTGCCTTCGGCTCAGGTCATGATCCCAGGGTCCTGGGATCGAGCCCCACGTTGGGCTCCCTGCTCAGCGGGAAGCCTGCTTCTCCCTCTCCCGCTCCCCCTGCTTGTGTTCCCTCTCTCTCTGTCTCTCTTTCTGTCAAATAAATAAATAAAATCTTAAAAAAGAATTACTTTTTTGATGAAATCTATTTTTGTTACTAAACATTTTATTGCTTTAAGTTTTTCATTTTGATTCCAGTGTAGTTAACATACAGTGTTCTATGACTTTCAGATGTACAACATAGTGATTCAACAATTCCGCACGTCACCTGGTGCTCATCATGGTAAGTGTACTCTTTAATGATGAAATCTATTTTAATGCTATCACCTGTCCACCTGAAAAACTGAATAACTTCTAAAGTTCACCATCAAATCTAATGCTGCTCAGGTTCATACGTGGAGGTGTTTGTTTTGTTTTACTATTCTTACTCTCTCTTTTTAAAAAATTTTTATTTAAGTAATCTCAATACCTGACAGGCACTCGAACTCAGAACTCTGAGATCAGGAGTTGCATGCTTGGGCGCCTGGGTGGCTCAGTTGGTTGGGCGACTGCCTTCGGCTCAGGTCATGATCCTGGAGTCCTGGGATCGAGTCCCGCATCGGGCTCCCTGCTCAGCAGGGAGTCTGCTTCTCCCTCTGACCTTCCTCCCTCTCATGCTCTCTGTCTCTCATTCTCTCTCAAATAAATAAATAAAATCTTTAAAAAAAAAAAAAAAGAGTTGCATGCTCTTCTTTTTTTTTTTTTTTTTAAGATTTATTTATTTATTTATTTGACACAGAGAGAGAGACAGCTAGAGTGGGAACACAAGCAGGGGGAGCGGGAGAGAAGCAGGCTCCTGGCTGAGCAGGGAGCCCGACGCAGGGCCCTATCCCAGGACCCTGGGATCATGACCTGAGCCGAAGGCAGACGCTTAACGACTGAGCCACCCAGGCGCCCCAAGAGTTGCATGCTCTTCTGAGTCAGCCTGGTGCCTCTACTATTCTTATCTTACCTCCTTACTCAGGCAATCATTCTAAAAAAATACTATTAGTTTTTCAACTGGAATGTCTTTTGACCTGTCCTCTCATTTCCCTCAGGAATTTGCCCTAATCCACATCTAAACTTCCCACCCTTAGATTTCAGCATTTTCCCTGTATGGTGTCTTTATCGTTTCCTTTCTCTGATTTTATATTTCACATTTTTCATATTGATCTTTAAGTAACAATAATCAAGCAATTCAGGTACAGTCATAAACAGTTAAGATTACAGCAACTGTCGGCAAGTAAGGCAGCAGCCTAACCTGGCTAGTCAGTGCTGTACATAGGACCCCACTCTGCATCCTGGGTTCTTGACCTCTCTCATCTGCTAAAATGGGGCTTGGATTAAAATAGATTATCTCTAAATTTTTTCCATCCATGACATTGCCTGTACCATTATATTTTGCTTTATCATCTTTTTTTCTTTAATTTCTTTTTTGGGGGGGGGCTGGAGGGAAGGAGATGGACAGAGGGAGAGAGAGAGAATCTTTTTTTTTTTTTTTAAGATTTCTTTTTTTTTTTTTTTTAAGATTTTATTTATTTATTTGAGACAGAGAGAATGAGAGACAGAGAGCATGAGAGGGAGGAGGGTCAGAGGGAGAAGCAGACTCCCTGCTGAGCAGGGAGCCCGATGCGGGACTCGATCCCGGGACTCCAGGATCATGACCTGAGCCGAAGGCAGTCGCTTAACCAACTGAGCCACCCAGGCGCCCGAGAGAGAGAATCTTAAGCAGGTCCTGCACTGGGCATGGAGCCCGACGTGGGGCTCAATCTCACGACCCTGAGATCATGACCTGAGCTGAAATCAAGAGTTGAACACTTAACGGACTGAGCCACCCAGATGCCCCTTGCTTCATCAACTTGATGGCATTTCCCTTCAGTCTATTCACAAAATATTACTTATTTAAGTAGCTTGGTCTTGTAGAATTAATGTTCTACTATCAATACATTTCAAGAAAGGAAGTCAGAGTTCTGAGAACAAGACTGTTATACTTAGGGTTACAAATGTTTTCATTTGTTATGACAGCTTGGTTTGTATCAGAATGTACCATGCCTTATCAAGCTTCACACTCTTCCTTTCCACCCACCAACTAACCCTTTTGTTCCAACCAAACCAATCTGTTGAAACTCTACATCCTGCTTTTTTTTTCATTTTGCCACAGGGCCTTTGCTAATGTCATTTGCTCTGCCAGGCTGTCCTTTACTCCTCAGTCCATGCCCATTACTTCTCTCGGTCCAAGAAACTTGGCCTGACTCGCTTACTCTAATCTTACATTCATTCATTAAGCCCACATTTACCGAGCAGTTAACGTGTGCTAGGCCCTCCTTCCACATTTCCTATGAATTTCTGTATGCAACTGTTAAATTTAATTAAACAAGGAGCCCATTAGATTGAGGTGGCTATAATGAACCCACAAGAAGCAAACCAAAAATCTAAGCCTGTAAATGCCTCAAGTTTACAAAGTTGGAACCAAGGACAAGGAAGCACAAAGAGCCAACGAGGCTTTACTCTGTAGCCAATCAGTGAGTTCCTTGCTTTGCTTCCACCTTTTCTAAGTCTCTCCCCAGCTCTTGCAGAGCACTTGTAACCGTTCATGGTTTGGTGCTGTCTGTTTCAGATAGATTTTTGTTCACAGGTGCCTGGCTGGCTCAGTGGGAGGAGCATGTGACTTGGGGCCTCAGCGTCATGAGTTCGAGTCTCATGTTGGGTGTAGAGATTACTTAAATAAATGTTTTTTTAAAAATCAGTTTTTGCTCAAATAAACTCCTAAACATTTTAATATGCCTCACTTAAATCTTTTAACACAATTTTAAATCATATTGTTCACCTTCTGCTTTGCATTTGTTCGTGAATGTGTATTTTTTTTCTCAACTTGATTTTAATTTTTTTGGCTTCTTTGTACAGTACTGTGGGTTCATTAAGGATATTGAATGAATGGATAGATGAATGAATTAAATAACATGAAACTGGTTTAATTCAAAGGAATTTGAAGGAAATACTTTTTTTAAAAGATTTTTTATTTTATTTATTTGAAAGAGAGAAACAGAGATAGCAAGAGAGAGAGAGCACAGGCAGGCAGAGGGAGATGCAGGCTCCCCGCTGAGAAGGGAGCCCAATGTGGGACTCGATCCCAGGACCCTGGGACCATAACCTGAGCCAAAGGCAGATGCTTAACTGACTGAGCCACCCAGGCACCCTGAAAGAAATACTTAACTAGAATTTAAAAGTCATTCTAAGTTCAAACAGCTTTGAGGGTTACATTGTAAATGATTCAACTGAGTGACATATCTCTAAAGATTTTATTTATTCATTTGACAGAGAGAGAGAGAGCACAAGCAGGCAGAGCAGCAGGCAGAAGGAGAGGAAGAAGCAGGCTCTCTGCTGAGCAGGGAGCCGGATGCAGGGCTTGATCCTAGGACCCCAGGATCATAACTTGAGCCAAAGGCAGCTGCTTAACAGACTGAGCCACCCAGGCGCCCCTAGAGTGAACTATCTCTAGACTGTGCACTCCTTCTTAAGCATTTTTGACTGGAATCACTCTTTTTTTTTTAGTTTTTTTAAGATTTTTATTTTTATTGGGGCACCTGGGTGGGTCAGTCGGTTGAGCGTCTGCCTTTGTCTCAGGTTGTGATCCCAGAGTCCTGGGATCAAGCCCTGCATCAGGCTCCTTCATTGGTGGGGAGCCTGCTTCTCTCTATCCCTCTGCTGCCCCTTCTGCTTGTGCTCTCTTGCTCACTCTGTCAAATGAATAAATAAAATCTGAAAACAAAAAGATTTTTATTTTTATTTATTTGAGAGAGAGCATGAGCAGGGAAGAGGCAGAGGGAGAGAGAAAAGGAGAAACAGACTGCTGAACAGGGAGCCTGATGTGGGGCTCGATTCCAGGACCCTGGGATCTGAACCTGAGCTGAAGGCAGATGTTTAACCTACTGAGCCACCCAGGCACCCCTGGAATCACTCATTTTTGACTCTTACTCATTCACCATTTATATTATTTCTTCTCTATGGAAGTGAGTGACTGACACATGTTAAGCATTCAGAAGATGTTTGTTAATTATTAAAAGGAATTAATACAATCTTTAAAAAGGAATTAATGTATATTATTTAACCTTTACAATTAAGAGAACAAGTTCCTTCATGACAGGGACCCAATATTTGAAGTAGTCTCACACACACACACACACACACACACAGATTTGATTTATTTATTTCGTAAACTCTACACCCAACGTGGGGCTCCAACTCACCACCCCTGGATCGAGAGCTGCATGCTCTACCAACTGAGCCAGCCAGGCATCCCACATACACACAGATTTTCGAATTACAGTTGACCCTTAAACAACACTGAATGAACTACATGGGTCTACTAATATGCCTGTGGTGTTTTTCAGTAAATACAGTACTGTATTTTCTCTTCCTTATGATTTTCTTAATAATATTTTCTTCTCTCTAGCTAACTTATTGTAAGATTTTGGTATATCATACATATAACACATGTCTCATATATAGTATATGTGATGTATGTATTACATATGCAGTATATAACATACAAGATATATCTTTTTTTTTTTTAAAGATTTTATTTATTTATTTGAGACAGAGAGAATGAGAGACAGAGAGCATGAGAGGGAGGAGGGTCAGAGGGAGAAGCAGACTCCCTGCCGAGCAGGGAGCCTGATGCGGGACTCGATCCCGGGACTCCAGGATCATGACCTGAGCCGAAGGCAGTCGCTCAACCGACTGAGCCACCCAGGCGCCCACAAGATATGTCTTAATCCACTGTTTATGTTATTCATAAGGCTTCCTGTCAACAGTAGGCTATTAGTCATTAAGGTTTTGGGGAGTCAAAGATTATAGACACATTTTTGGCTGTAGAGGGTGGGGGTTGGCACCCTAACCCCTGTTTTGCTCAAGGGTCAACTGTAATACAATTCTGAGTTTACCATGGGTACTTAGTAAATGCTTCTTGAATGGATGAATAGATTGCAAGAGAAATATCTTCCCTTAGAAGGAAGACTTCTTTCCTGGTACGAGCAATGGTGCCTTCAGGATGAAGACCCTGCACGGAGCCCACAGCCCAGGCGCCAGCAGGACGTGGTCCCCTTCCAGGAATTGGCTCCTTGTGCACACTCAGCGGTGCTGGTGTAGTTTAAGCACTTTCTGAAGCCAGCAGTGTCTCACGTGGAGGCGCGTCTGCTGGAAAAGATTTTCGGTCCAAGCAGAGGCCTCCTCCCAGAGTTCGAACGGCAGCTCCAAGTTCTGCTC